TGGGTTCAATCTTCAGCATTTAAAAATAAACAAACAAAATAAAAAATATTGTGTCTATCTATAACTAAAAAAATAAAATAAAATAAAAAATAAATGACTATGAGCTGGGTGCGTTTGTACATGTCTGTAATCCCAGCAGCTCTGGAGGCTGCCTCCTCTGAGGCAGGAGGATCTCGAGTTCAAAGCCAGCCTCAGCAATTGAAAGATATTAAGCAACTCAGTGAGACCTTGTCTCTAAATAAAATACAAAATAAGGTTGGGGATGTGGCTCAGTGGCCGAGTACCCCTAAATTCAATCCCCAGTAGCATATCATATGAAGAGAATAGCCAGAGCCAACTCAATAGGTCTTACTCTTAAAGATTTTTATCAACACCTTGGCACTCTTTTGCTGTCAAAAATGATTCTTAAGCCTTTTAACAGCTTTATGACTTCCTATTTTAGCTCCCCACCTAACATAGCCTGTTACCAAAATGAACTGCCCATCATTTTGGGAAACACTCTGGAGGCTATTTCCTGATTTAAGAGCACAGCTTAGTCTCTGGATTAGCACTCATATAATATGAAACCAAGAGTCAAACATCTCTGAAATATTTAGTAAAATATGAGTATTCTATTCCACAATGTTGTCTTCGGGGATATAAACAATCTAAAATAAGTATTTGAGTCATGCTGTATCATATTAATATTTTCAAAAGAAATCTGATGTTTGGAGTAATAGGCCATATTTTATGGCCTAACTGCAGCAACACATGAAGCAAAGTCCAAATGTGGATCTGAAAAAAAAAGATGAAAGCATCATCAGTGATGATGAAAGACTATTACTGAAGTAAATCTTATTTCCTTGAGGAAGGAAGGTACTGAATCTATTAGAATATGCCTTTGAAGGGCTATGAAACAAGTCCTTTATTTATGAAAAAAATAAAAAATCATGCTGATAAATTAGTTACAGGGGATACAAAACAGAGATGAATAAGCTAAAAAAAAGTCTCCTTCTGGTTTGTCTTATATATTTTCTAGGCAATATTCTTCCTGATAGGACACATAGCACAAAATATAATTTTGCTGAATATGATAATGCATAAGTTAGAGAAAATAACTTTTTTAATATTTATT